TTTGTTGAGGTACTTTGGGGTGGCCTGGGGACACACTGGTTCCTCACTGGGCTGCGACCCCTAAGGTCAGCATTCAGAAACCACCAGCTGCCCTTCGGGAGAAAGATGGGGCTTTCGACTCCAGCAGAGTGAGTCTCGGAACCCCACGGGGGCAGTTCTACCCTGTCCTAGTCTGCGAGCCAGCATCGACTCGGTGGCACGAGTTTGAGTAGGCTCCGCATAGTCCTGTGACTGATTAAGAAGGCGGCATCTTCTGTCCTTAGGCTGAGACAGCAGTCCCTGGAGGAGGACACCATGCTTGGTGAAGCAGAGGGGCAGCGACAGAGGAAGGCCCTTGATGGGATGGATGGACCGCTGGAATGGCTGCTACCATGGGTTCAAGGCCAAGAGCGGATGTGAGGATGGTGAGGGGCCAGGTTAGAGTCCACTCCACAGCACCTGACACCAATCTACTCATGTCACCTTGCTTAGCACCCCCGTGAGACTGCCCAGCACCTCCACTGGGGCCCTACCGACCCGGTTCCTCACCTCTCTCTGACCACCTGGATGGCCAGGTGACCCGGCCCCGTCTCTGAGCAAACACTAAATGTCATGAGGCCAGGAGCTTGGCTTCCTTCCTCACTGGCCGTGGTCCTCGGCTGCCAGCTCAGGCCTGACAACAGACGGAGCTCCCTTGAGGCTTCAGGGGTGGCTCAGCCACGGCCCCCAAAGACGTGCCTGCCTATGGAAGTGACCTTATTTGGGAGAAGGGTCATTGCGGAGGCAATTAAGGTTGAGAGAGACGAGGCTTTCTACCCCTATAAAGAAGGACCATCCTGGCGAGCCACAGGGGGCAGTGCTGCCCTGTCCCTTGGGTTGCTGTGACCCGCAGGGAGTTTGGCTTTATGATCATCCTGGGTTATCTGGGGCCCTAAACCTAGTGGCAGGTGTGCTTGTGAGATGGTGAGATCGCCCTGGGAACGTGCAGGCACAGGGGGCCACGTAGTGCAGTTAGAATGTTCCCTGGGAATGTGCAGGCACAGGGGGCCGCGCAGCGCAGTTAGAATGTTCCGGAGGTGTGGGAGAAAGGCCAGGTGATCAGTTTTGAGGTCAGCCACCCTGGAAGCCGGAGGGCAGTTGTCCTCCTCCACATGGGGGCGCTGGGAGCTGCTCCACACCATCTGTGCTGCAGACAGCCTCATCTGCTGACCCAGAGCGTAACCTCTATGCCACCAGGGCTCTTGGGTCTAAGGCCGTGGGCCTGAAACGGCTGTGGGAATGGGCAACTTCACGGTGCTGCGTCTTGACCAAGCCAGCTCTACAGGTGGACACTGTTGACCTTGAACATGCCCTTGGCAGGCTCTAGGCCGAGCTCCTGTGGTGTCCCAAGGCTTACCCTCTGCTTCCTACGCATTTTAGTGGTCCCAGGAGGGACCCCAGTCTCAGGGTGCCCTGCAGTAAGGCATGACCTCATGACTGTGGGCAGAAGCGGTGCCAGAACCTTCCATGCAGGGGGGGCTCCTGTGGAGTTGTGGCTGAGGACCCACGGCAGTGAACCTGCCGGCCTTCCCACCCTGCGGTGGTGGTGGGCTTCATTGGAATCCCTGATGTCACAGGGCGGCAGGAACACACCCCAACTAATTCCCACATCCTCTGGGGAGTCCCTGGCTAGCTGCCTGGGGCCAGGGGGCCGGTGACAAGGCAGGTGACGCTCTGAGGGGTTTTAGTGCCACACACACGCATGGACTCTTCCATTTGCAGGTGCTTCTAGGGCAGCGGGGCCCTGGTGGCGTTGTGGGTCACCCACTGTGCTGCTAACTGCAAGGTCACCAGTTTGAGACCAGCAGCTTTACTCCCGCAAAGATTTCCAGCCTGGAAGTGCAGAGGCACGGCTGCCTGTCTTAGTGGGCAGCTGTGCTCTTTCCTCTGTGATGGTTATGAAAGCGCCCACATGCCCGAGTCACCCTGCACTTCCATGACAGTGACTTTAGCCCTTTGTGGGGATGTCTGTGACGGGCATGCTGTCCTTGCTTCCCTCTGGCTGGCAGTCAGTGTGCACGCTGTAACCGGGAGCATGCCCACAGGCTGCTCTGCAGACTGCCAGGGCTGGCAGTCAGTGTGCACGCTGTAACCGGGAGCATGCCCACAGGCTGCTCTGCAGACTGCCAGGGCTGGCAGTCAGTGTGCACGCCGTAACCGGGAGCACCCCCACAGGCTGCTCTGCAGCCTGCCAGGCCTTTCTTCCCAGTGCCTCTGGGTAGATGCGACCCACCCACTTTTGGATCTGCAGCCCGGCTCCTGCACCTCTCGGGGTGCAGTCTGAGACTCAGGGGTGGGGACCATGGAAGGCGGTCCCCTTTCAACACACCTCAGGAAGCTTCCTTGCCCTGCCAAGAAAGCCAGAGGTGAGGGGGGGGGCGGGATGCTGGTCTCACCAGCCATGCTGTGGTGGGGGCTGGCCTTTGCAGCCCCGTCCTGGAGCAGTAGCCCATGGTTGGTCCCAGTGTCTCCCAGCCTTAGCTTCCTCCCTTGTACAATGGGGTGATAGTCCCAGCTTCAGGGTGCTCTGTGAAGCGCGGGTGGATGGTGCAGGGACACACGGATGTCCATCTGGGGAAGAAGGGAGAGGAATGCTGGGACAGGGACGAAGGGTGGCTCCTGGCAGTTCCTAGGGAAGGGGGCAGCTGCCGTGGGAAACTGGTGCTGTTGGCCTCAGCCCAAGGAGGGGTCCTGCCCCAGGGGATCCTGTTTAGGAGAGCTGCAATTAAGGGAAGTGGGGTTTATTAAGGGGAGCTGGAGGGCCCAGCCCTGGCTTCTGGCAATGCTACAATTAGATAGCAGGGCCCTGCCACTGAACCACTGACCTCCTGCCTCCTGGGTGGCGAGGGGATACGCCCCATTGTGGGTGTGGGGGGGTGGGTTGGGGGGGAGAAAGAGGGTTGGGCCGGCAGTCACTAACACCCTGACAAAGGCAGTCTCCGCTCCACTCTCCTTTCATCCCTGTGATGTCCGCACAGGCTGGGTCCACTATTGTTCTCTGCCCTCCAGATGGAGGAAGACACCAGGGCACCTCAAGGTCAAGGTCATGCTGAGGATCAACACCTGGCGAGGAATGGTCTCAGAGCTGTGCAGCGACAGTGAGACCTCCCACCCCTCCCCAGACTGCTCACCTTCTGTGGGGTCTGCAGTCAGGCCCTGGGAGCTTCACCACCAGGCAACCAGGACTCTTTCCCCGCTTCTTTCAATTACATGACGTAATTTTATGATACACACAAAGGACCCGAATCTAGGGCCAGAGGCCACGTAACCCCAGTCTGTAAGGCCTGCTGTCTTAGATCTGAAAGAGCCAGAGTGGGCCATGCATCGAGTTGCTGACCAGGCCAGGGGTTCAGACCTACCAGCTGCTCCTTGGGAGAAAGATGAGGCTATCTACTCCCCCAAAGGCTGCCAGCCAGGCTCTGCACCCACCCCACCCCCGCAGCTGTGCTCTGTGTGGCAGGGTCACTGCGGGTCAGGATGGGCTGATGGCGGAGTTGGAGTGGGAGATCTTAGACCCGGGAAGGCCTAGATGCAAACGGCCAGAGTCTGAAGTGCAGCCCAGCACCTTGCCCTCTGTGCTGCAGCCTCCGTGCCAATTAATGCTGCTGAAGGGACAGGGCCCGTGGCACTTGGTTGGAGAGACGTGGCCGCAGGATGCTGACAACCAAGAGGTTTTTTCCTGGGATCCAGGGGTGGTGTGGGGGGTGGTGTGAGTTTGTGTGTGTGTATGTCCCATTTCCTCGGGTGCCACCAAAGGGTTAAAGTGATTTTCATTAAAATTTAAATTTCAGCCTGTGCGGGCGCCCGCTCTCCTTTTCCCGGCCCCCGGCTGCCTTTGAACGTCTGACTGGTAACCATTTCATATTTCAATCTCGGCAGAACAAATTGAATTAGTTGTTGAGACCAAACTCAGCTCTGTTCACCAAAGCCGGCATGCTCGGCTGCGGCTAATCCCTTCCCCGCCGCCACTGCTGCCTCGCAGCCCGGGCCCCGCAGGGACAGCGGGGCCACAGAACACAAAACAGGCTGGGGAGCAGGGCCCAGGCGAGGGAGGAGGCCAC